TAAAGGAAGACTCGGAATAAGAGAAATACAAAGAAAGTGTGTATAATTCAAATACACGTTTTAAGAGGTCGTGGGAGTAGAATTCACTAACTTACACGTACATACATGTTAGACGCGTGTAGTGGTACTAACCATATTTTATCTTACATTTGAACTTTATCATTGGGAGTTCATAATTTTTATATCTATGTTGGATTGAAATGTTCATTGTTATAAACTTCACAACTTTAGCCACCTGTCAGTTTTTGTTCCCTCAATGATTTTGGTGGTAGTTGGGGCATTCAATTCGCAATCTACGGATCATGGAACCAAATCCCGTACCCGAATATGCTCATTCTTTCAGTCGTGGGAGCTTTATAATGGGATGGTCAATCTCATTATTCGTAGATAAACGAGTACCCCAAGAGTTGGCGGTGGGTGGTGTTGAGTAGCTAGCTGTCTTTCCTCTGGCCTACCACATCAAAATTAGGGACGGCTAGCGCAAATAGCCCTCAAGTAGCTTTGCACGAAGTTCTAACAAACAAACAGGTCCAGATGGGATTAAGTCTCTGCGGGTCGCTGATACAAAGTGCATATGATTACAGGACAAGTCTGTCTTGTACATTAGAAATCACAATTAACCTGGATGCAGAAGAAAAGACTTGGTCTCGAGGCTAGTATTAGTGACAAAGAGTTACTTGTAATCGTTGCAGGTTGATCTTTTGGCTTTCCTTTTCATCGAATACGGACGTGTTAGTTTCTTCTTGTAAGGAACTTTTCAACAGAAGTTCCTCTAAAAAGTTTTGAAGTCTCGACTCGTGTGAAATGTTTTTTTTTTAATTGTACTTATTTTGAGAATTATTTTTCAATATCTGACCGTGGTGTTATTTGTGAATTAACTGCTAACTTGAATAATTTATTCCTACTTCGAACGATTATTGTCTGTTTTAGCTGCACCAGACTCTTGTACTAGTTTTGAACTGTGATTCAACGTTCTGCTTATAACATTTAACCAGTTACGCTATATTCGTTGATCAAGCAACTTTCATGTTTTATTGTAATTTCATACTGATTACTGCAAACTAGGCCCGGCATGGCCAGGTGGTTAGGGTACTCGACTCGCAATCTGCGGGTCGCGGGTTCGAATCCCGTCCCACCAAACATGCTCGCCCTTCAGCCGTGGGGTGTATAATGTGAC